CAATATACTCCAGTCTTTTATTAGGCTTGTCTGGTCCAATTAGCTCAGTCCAGTTAGAAAATTAAGCTATTAAAGATAGAATGAGAAGTTCAGAGCGGACACAGGCCTATTATATATTGATTCAGTTGACAGCCACAAACTATGTGCCATTCTGATTAGTATTTCTCCAAGTGCACATTGTGGATTACAAGTTGTATGTGCAGAAGGGATAAATGGCTCAGAGGTCTGCAATGGATACCACTCCAGAAAAACACAATTCAAAACAGAGGACCTATTGACAGAACATCAGTAACCAACTTTCCGTAAGGGAACAAATTGTCCATATATATTTAAGAATTTTAAAATGTGTAATAAAGATAAAATTTCTCTTAGAGATAGATGTTCTTAAATATGTATATATCCTTAAACTTTTTTTCTGCAGGATTGTTTACAAGACACATATAACTTAGCTTAAAATATAAAACTGTCCATAATTGATGAAATGTTTTAAGTAATATTTGTTGCTATTTTTTTCAGAGCACAGTATCTTTAAAATACCAATTCAAAAGTGTGTTTTTGGGCGAGTGTGGCAGCTCATGCCTGTAATCCTAGCACTCTGGGAGGCCAAGGACAGCGGATCACTTGAGGTTGGCAGTTCAAGACCAGCTTGCGCAAGAGTGAGACCCCATCTCTACTAAAAATAGAAAAAATTAGCCAGGCATGGTGGCATGTGCTTATAGTCCCAGCTACTTGGGAGGCTGAGGCAAAAGGATCACTTGAGCCAGGGGTTTCAGGTTGCTGTGAGCTAGGCTGATGCCATGGCACTCTGGCCCAGGCAACAAAGCGAGACTTTATCTCGGACAAAAAAAAAAAAAGAGAGAGAGAGAAGGGTATTTTATTTTTAATCAATTGACTTTGAAAAACTTGCTACCCTTAGGTCCCGTTTCAGTTATCCACCCAGCTCAAAGGTTATCATTTTTCTGATATCTAACACGCAGATTAGTTTATCTGGTTTTTTAACTTAAAACAAATGTGGCAACAACCTAAATGTCCATCAATAGAATATAAAAATATAGTATACTCAGACAGTGGAACATATACAACTACTTTTTACATACAACAATAAGGATGCAAATAATGTTAAGTGAAAGCAGCCAGACACAAAAGTGTATCTATTGTCAAATTTCATTAAATGATTTATTCAAACAGAGGAGAAAAACTGTATTTTCATAAACTGTAAAGGAGTGAAATTTGTGATAAAATTAGTCTTTGCAAATCTTTTAAAATATCTTTGTTATAGGCTTAAATTTCATAATTTCTATAACTTTATGATTAAATTGTTGATAAGCTGAGATAAATACATTTGAAAATTAGATGCAAATTTGAGGCAAAAACTTTTTCTTTTTAAAAATAAACAGCTAGGTGCAGTGCGCCACATGCCTATAGTCCCAGTTACTTGGGAGGTTGAGGTGGGACACTCACATGAGCCCAGGAGTTGAAGTCCAGCTTGGGCACATAGTGAGATCCCATTTCAATTAATCAATCAAAAAATAAATGAAAATTCTAGTATCTTAATGTGTTCCTCTGTGCTATCAGAGTACCTTTTCCTCAAGGGGCATGTCAATCTCTGCCTGCAAAATAGTAATATAAAAATGTGGAGGGGGCTAAAAAATTTTCTAAATTATTAAAGAGAACTTCTCTTTAATCTAATCTATACCTTCAAATAAATGTTCTGGTAACATTAAACTTCGGTACGAGCATCGAATATAGTAGACAGCCACAGATGAAAGCACACAGTGACTGTAGCACAGTGACTGTAGCCGACAGCCGTGATATGACTTTTCTAATTTTTCATTTATCAAAATAAAATTGTGAACATTTAAAAATAACATAATGAAAACATATATGTATATGTTACTTATTCTGATTTACATTACAAGTAAAGCTGCCTGTAAAGTAAAACAAGCTTTCAGTGCTTTAAAGCTTTCCTCATCACACAAGAGCAAAACGGACTTGTCATCAATGCACAGCACAAACCATCATGTAGACTATGAGTGCCGGCTGTGGGCAAGGTTTCGCGGCCGGTGAGCACTGTACCAAAGTGGTTAAGGTCACTGATTCAGGTTGAATTAACACTGATATGTCGATCCTGTTATTGTACTAACTAACTAGTGAAAAAAAAATTTTAAAGGAGAATTCTGATAATTCCACTTAGGAAACAAAAATCTCCTAGCATGAGTCTACTATAATTATTTAATAAAATATTTATTGGGGATTGACTAAAGTATATGCAAGTTTTATAGATAGTAAGTAGCTTAAGAGTAAACTCTCTGTTTAAGAATTTGACTAATAAGAAGATATAAGAAATATTAAAAAGTAGTATACTAAAAGAAAGCATATAATACCTAAATCGCTTAACCATATGTTCATAAATATGTAAAGGGAAGTAGAGAGAACTTCCAACATAATTAAGAAGAAATGCATCTCAGACGGATGGCAGATTAGGTGAGATTTGAAAGGTGGGTATGATTCAACAGAAGTAGAGAACATTCCAGGAATGGAAGCAGCAAAATAAATATTTAGAAAAAAGGAATAGTACAAATAGGATCGACATTGAGTTTCTTTGCAAAGTGGTAGAGGTATAAGTTTGAAAAGAAAAATTATAATAGGCAGGAAATGGAGAGCCAATTAAGATTTCCAACTCCGGTAGCTCAGCTCCACACATATCAATATCATAGCTATAATCAAGGTATGTTTTAGGAATATTCTATTCACTTGTACCCTAAAATATTCATCTATGTACCCTAGTGCCTGACATGCATCCAGTAATCAATAGATGGCGTCTGTTGTGGTTGTTGTTATTGTTATCAGCACAAACTTCTTTGTCACTTACTCCATTAAACTGAATATAAGGGCTAGAGCCTCATGAATTAGCAAAGAGATGGCGAAATGGTAAGAAATGAAGATTACAGTGATACGTTAAAACACTTCATAAAAATGTTGATCAATTTTTCATATACTTAACAAACCATAAACAATAATAAAAGGCAATCCCTTATTTTTAACTTAAGGAACACACTTTTAGAAGATTAGAAGACAGTAATGAAAAATTTCTGAGATTTCCTGAATTTATAAATTTATGGATCATTAACACAGTAGTGATCAAATCTTTGCATCAGGCTCTTATCTATGTAACAGAAATGTATCAGTGACAAAAACAGATAAAATCCATGCTGTCAGGAGCTTATATATTATTGGGGTCATGGCAAAAGACAGACAAAAATAACACAATATGTAAATTATATAAGAAAAACAAAACAGGAAAGGCGGAGAGAGAACATGGGGATTGGGGAGGAGGAGGAGAGGAATGGGCCACAATTTTAAACAGTGTAGTTAGGAAAGGGTCTCACTGAGAAGATTGTGTTTGCGTGAAGACCTAAAAGTAAGAGAGTAATGTACTGCTCTGTAATTACTTCCAATTATTTTTCTTTGTAATAACTTAATTTTGAACATTGAAGCCTTTTTGAAATTACACTTCTCTCTAAATAACGACAGATTTCAAAAACATAAACAAGAAAACAATATTTGATTTACTATGGCAACTGATTAGCCAAATAGTCCAACTTTTACTCCTTATCCTTGCCGTCCATCTATAAAAGAAATCTGAAAATGTTCATAAAAATATGAGACCAAATTGATTATTATGTGGTATTAATGACTGTAACTCTGATGGTTTGCAATTAGTTCCTATAAGACCGAGAAGTCTGGGAACTTCAGTAGGGATACGTACTGAAATATTTATATATGAAATGAAATGATGTTGAACACTTATTTCAAAAGAATCTATCAGCAGGTAAAAACAACGGGATGGAAGAATACATGAAACAAGACTGGTTATGAGTTCATAAAGGATAAAGTTTGGTGATGGGTACAAGAGGGTGTATTATTATTCTCTCAAAATCTGTATATTTTCCAAATGAAAAGGTAGAGAAAGTTACAGAAAAAAGAAGATATATTTTGAAACTATTATTTATCTTTACCAACCTAATACTAAGCCTCAAAGAGAGTATTTCACTATGTTGATCTATTTCACATAGTATTTCACTATGTTGATCTATCACAATATTTCCTACCCATCAAAAGGAAAAGCAACCAACTAAGTTATGTGAATTCAGTGGCAGTTACTAATGTGAACTCTACTGCTAACTTAACAACACATCAGTTTTGCTTTTGATTTTGTGGCAAAGAGTTTCTAACGTTCTAATATGACTGCCAGGGTTCTTATAATAATGATGTTTTTATGATTTTGTTCTGAAGAAAATTAAATTTACCACTGATGGCACACTGGCTGCAAACTGTTCCTTTTTCCTCTTATGGTGTTACATATTATTGTCATAGCATATATAAAGCTGAAAAAACAGTTTACACATGTATATTTGATGTGTTAGATACTAATTTTAGGCCGGGCGCTGTGGCTCACGCCTGTAATCCTAGCTCTTGGGAGGCCGAGGCGGGCGGATTGCTCAAGGTCAGGAGTTCAAAACCAGCCTGAGCAAGAGCGAGACCCCGTCTCTACTATAAATAGAAAGAAATTAATTGGCCAACTGATATATATATAAAAAATTAGCCGGGCATGGTGGCGCATGCCTGTAGTCCCAGCTACTCGGGAGGCTGAGGCAGGAGGATCGCTTGAGCCCAGGAGTTTGAGGTTGCTGTGAGCTAGGCTGACGCCACGGCACTCACTCTAGCCTGGACAACAAAGTGAGACTCTGTCTCAAAAAAAAAAAAAAAAAAAAAAAGATACTAATTTTAAATCAACACTAAAGCAGTCCTCACCCTAAAAAAGTAATAAGTTGTGTGTGTGTATATGCATGTGTATACATGTATGACAGAGGTAGATAAGAATATACATTTTGATTTACAAATAGATTCCTTTCTTACTAAATGCTAAACATAATTTCTGATTCCTATATTAAGCTGGGTTAAACTTCAGAATATTGCCACTTTGAAAATGCACTTACCACCTGTCCATTGTGTGGGTTCTTATGAGCATATGGAGGTCCACGGATATGGTTCCACATCTGGCCAGAAGTCATAGCAAAGACTATACACTGAAAAACGGTAAATATTTCAATATGTAAACCAGAGAATATCAGAATATTTCACTTTTTTAAAAAACAGATCATAAAACTACCATTTAAAAATGATCTTTTAGTTCATCCATTAAAAAATGTTTCACTTACTAACTGTGGGACTTTGGGTAAGTTACTTATTCTCCCTGCATCTCAGGTTCCATATCTATAAAATTGGGATACCAACTCTGCTAAAGAGATATGTTAATGATTGAATTGGATAACATATATAAAGCATCTGGCATGGTGACAATCTGATATTATGTGCTCATCTGCACCAGTCAAAAGCACAGAGGAGACCATTAATGTTTCAGTGATATTTTAAAGCACATGATAATCATCTATATCCTCGAAATTTCATTCTTACATTAGCTTGGATCACCAGAAGCCTACATTCTTGGATTATAGTACTTACATCTCTGTAAGTACCTAAATGCTTTCAGCAAAATATATGATAGTAAATTCAGAAGAAGTTTACAGATGGAAAAAAAATCACAAAAAAGATATAGCCAGGAAAAATTCACAGAGATTATTTACATGCCTTCTGAATCTATCAGTAACATCTGTATTTAGAAAACTAATCTTGAAGATTCAAGGAATTACAGGGAGGTTGGGAGAGAGAGTGGATGAACCAGAAGTCACAGTTCAATCACTATGACTTCTGTATAAGCATGTTTTGTTTAAATCACAGAATATTTTTAAATTAATCAACTGAAACACCTTTAGACTTCAATGTGTTCTTCAGGTTAACTGGTGCAATCACTCTTTACTTAGCTGCCTGGCTCTGGCAGGTATTTGTGTCAAGAAAGGTTAAAGGCAAGGATAAGCAATGCATGATTAGGGGCCTAAACATTCTAGGTTTGCACAATTTTTAAAGGAGAAAAAAGGATGCAAAAGGGGAAAAGATGGTGGCAAATTATGATGATATTTAAGCCAAGAGAATGAGTTTAGATTCTATTCTATAATTGCTTAAGAGCCAAGGTGTTTCAACAGAAAATGATAATGACATAATAGCTTTAGAGAGGTTAATCTGAATCCTTTTCCCTCTTTAAGAATAACTCTGAAATTAATTCAGACTTCATAAAAGCCAGATTTGACTTACACAGATTTAGCCTAGGTTGAGATATTTTCTGAAAGTCAGGATTTTACAAAATATTTGCACTTCAACTTTGAGAATACACTAGAATATTAGGCCCAGGGTGGGCACAGAGAATGATCCACCATCTAAAAAAAATCATTTCCAAATTTGAAATTGTTATGCGAGAAAAATAAATTCTTTATTTAACAGGAATATAATATCAGTGAATTTAGAGAATACATTCAAGTTGATTATTTATGCTACAGATTTAATGCAGTGTTTAGGCAGAGTGTATTTTGAAATCGAGGAAATGCCTTTTTTCTTTTTTGGAAGGGGTCTACTGACATACTTAACAGACTAAAATATTTTTAAAACAGTAGTATCCACATAAGAACCTTTAATGTTCTTAAGACCACTGGCATGCTGACAGTACTTTGTCCAGTAGTTTTATCATAGTAGTTCAGAATAAAGGCTCTTAAAGTACAATAATTGAGTTTCAGGCCTACCTTCAGCACCTGTGCAAACTTGGGCAAGTTCATTGCTCTGGGCCTCAGTTTCCTATTTATAACATTAGTACAATTAGTACTACATTAGTAGTACTACATTAGTAGTACCTTAGTACAATATTGGTATCAATCGTTTTAAACTGTGGTGATTACTTATTCATGGTTAAGTTAGTCCATGTAGTGCACTTAAAACTGTGCACGATACATGATGTAAGCTCAATAATTTTTATTGTTACTCCAAAGCCCTTCACAATGTGCTCCTATACTCCTAAATAGCACCATGTCCCAACACTCCTTACCTAGAACTAGATTCTCCATTCAGGCCACTCTTCTTGCTTCCCCCTGCATCCATCATGGTAATACTTGCATCTACATCTTGCTAATGCTGTGTCAACCCAGTCAACCACTCTACCCTACCCAAGGGTTTACTCGTGGCCTATGTGTGGTTCTCCATGAAACCTTTTCAGTTTAGTTTATTCATCTGACACTTACTTACTGAGCACTCTACTGTATGTCAGCTATTTTACTAGACACTAGGGATATAACACTGAATAAGATAAAGATGGTCCCTCTCCTTAGCTGGAAATCCTAAATAACTGACACGTACCCTGAATCATAAAGAAAAAATAGGTGTTTTCCATTTATTCATTCAAGATTTAATTGCTGAAAGCCTACTGAATGTTCAAAAACTGATTTAGAAGCCAAGGATAAAGCAATGAACAAAAACATGTCCTTATGGAGCTTACCTGCTACAGCAGGAAAGTAAAAAATAAAAAATTTAAGTTATATAACGATAATGAATGCTTTAAGGAAAAGTATAGTAGGGAAGGTAGAAGTCAAAGGAGAGGAGGTTACAATTTTAATTAAAGTGGCCAAGAGAGGCCACTCCAAGAAAGTGGCATTTCAGCAGATATATGAAGGAAGGAAACAAGCCATGTATCTATCTGGGAAGAGAGCACACCCCAAGCAGAGAATACAGCTAGTGTAACAGGCCCTATTGAAGGAGAATGCCTGTTATGCTCTAGAAAGAATAAAGAAGCCAATATAGCTGAAAGGAAGAAAATGAGGTGAGGAGAAAAGAGAAAAGACTGGTAAAGTAATGGAGGGACAGATCTCAGAGCAATATGGGTTGCAATTCTACAAACTCACTATAGAGTGGGCAAAGGTAGAAGCCAGGATAAAGTAGAAAGGCTACTGCAATATGGGGAATGAGAAATAATTAGAGCTTAAATAAATGTAGAAAAGTATGAAAAACAGTTGGAATCTGGACATATCTTAGAGAAAGAGCCCCCAGAATTTTTCTGAAGGATTAGATGTAGAATATGAGAGAAAAAAGAAGTGGTAAAGAAAGACTACATGGTTTCTGATTTGGATGACCAAAAAATGATAATGATAATAATAATAATAAAGTTGTCATTAACTGAGAAAATTAGGTTTAGGAACTAAGATCAGGAGTTTATTTTGTGCCTGTCCGTTTTAAGACACCGTCTTACAGGAAGAGATACAGACTGAGTAGTGAAATTTATTAGTCCAGAGTTTAGAGAGAAGATCTGACCCTAACATAAAATTTTGGAGTCAGTAATGGCTACGCAGTATTTAAAGCCTTAAAACTGGAAGAGATCACCTAGGAAGTAAATATAGACAAAAAAAGAGAAGCTGACAAAGAACTAAACCCTCTGACTACTCCAAAATAAGAGATAAAGTAGATAAAAATGAACAATCAAAGTGGATTAAGTAATAGCAGCAAGAGAAGAAGTAAATCATAAGAGTGTGGCATATTGAAGGACAAGTGAAGAATGTGATTCAGGATAAAGACATCAGTTGTGATAATACTGATGAGAAGGTGATAATATGCAAATCCAGAGCTAAAAATTGAATTTAGTTCCCTAAAAAATATTTGTGTCCTTTACAAGAGCATTTTCAATAGCATACTGGAGTAAAAGTCTTATGAGGAAAGAATGAAACTATTAATATATAAACAAAGGAGTTTTGCTATAAACAGAATCAGATGAATAGAACAGTATCTGGAAGTGTTACAATCCTTTAGGATGAATAAGCAGAAACTTGCATCTCTAACAGGAATGATTCAGTAGTAAGGGAAAAATGTATGATGCCATTAAAAGAGGAGAGAATTGTCAGAACACTGTATTTAAAAAATTTCTGAACAGTATGGGGATACAAATATTTTGGTTATATATATTGCCTTTGCATCGCCCAAGCCAGAGCTACAAGTGTGCCCATCCCCCATACAGTGTGCTCCATACCCATGTTATGAATTTACCCATCCACCTCAATCCCCCTCCCATCTTCCCAGCACCTGATGAATATTACTTCCATGTGTGCACCTAAGTGTTGATCATTAGTACCAATTTGATGGTGAGTACATGTGGTGTCTGTTTTTCCATTCTTGTGATACTTCACTTCAAAGAATTGGCTCTAGCTCCAACCAGGATAATACAAGAGGTGCTAGTTCACCATTGTTTTTTTATGGCTGAGTAGTACTCCATGGTATACATATACCACGTTATATTAATTCACTCATGGATTGATGGGCACTTGGGTTGTTTCCACATCTTTGCAATTATGAATTGTGCTACCATAAACATCCGAATGCAGATGTCTGTATTATAAAATGACATTTTTTACTTTGGGTAGATGCCTAGTAGTGGGATCACTGGATCAAATGGAAATTCTATTTTTAGTTCTTTGCAGTATCTCCATATTACTTTGCATAGAGGTTGTACTAATTTGCAGTCCCACTAGCAATGTAAGAGTACTCCCATCTCTCTGCATCCACACCAACACTTGTTGTTTGGGGATTTTTTGATAAAAGCCATTCTCACTGGAGTTAAGTGATATCTCATTGTAGTTTTCACTTGGATTTACCTGATGATTAGAGATGTTGAGCAATTTTTTATATGTTTGTTGGCCATTATTCTGTCTTCTTTTGCTAAGTTTCTGTTCATGTCCTTTGCCCATTTATTGATGAGGTTGTTTGATATTTTTCTTGTTAATTTTCTTAAGTTCTATATAGGTTCTAGTTACCAGCCCTTTATCGGATGTGTAGCATGTGAACAATTCTCCCACTCTACTCATAGATTTTATGCTACAATTTATATTTTAACACCAGTATTTACATTGCTATAATTATTAAATATCAGACAATATTATTGTCTGAATACATTTTATTAATGTTTACATTTTCATTTTATTAGCTAAAGGAATCATGATAATCATAGAGAAAAAAATAGTTTTGTACAAACTGAAATAAGATCATGTCCACCTAGATTCTAGTATTATCTTAACCATTCTTCTAGCTACCTTATTTACCCCTTTCAATCCACTGTCCATTGCTACCACAATGACTGTTCCAAAACCTAAATTTAATCATGTTATTTTCTCTGGAATGCTTTTTTTTTTTTCTAATTTATTTTTTTAAGGTTTATTTGTTTCTTTCAGGTCAGTGAGAGGGAGACCTCCTATACATCACTTATATCCATTTCTCCCCAGGATTGTGGGATGTTAAGCCTTAAAAGGAAGTGAAGAGAGCCTTTCATTTATCTCTCTGCCTTCACATACTATTAGTGAGAGAGAACCCATAAAACAATGCTGGGCTGAGTATCGGCGTAGCCCCTACCAGGATCAGTGCACTCAGGGCTGGGGACACAGAGGTACAAAAGGTGTGATTTGTAAACCGAGCCCTCTATCTCTGGAACATTTTAATAGCTACTCATTGCCAGTGCACAAAAAACCATATTCTTGTAGACAAGATAGTTCCATTCTTTCCTCTCCAGGAGCATCTCTTACTCCTTCTTTCCTTGCCATCATTGCTCTAGCTACACAGAAGTGTAGTTCTCTGGATATCCAAGGCTTCACATTTGTTGCATACTTGGCTTTAAAGGCTTTAGAATTTCATTTATTCTTCAAAATTCAGCTCATGTCACACTCTGGGGAGGCTGTCATGATTCCCTTTACTCTAGGTTAGGTGTCTTTTATTTGTATTCCTACAATACTCCATGTTTTCCTCCATCACAGCATGGATAATGTCACACCATATTTTTCTGTGATCAGTTTCTATATCCCCACAATACATTCCTTACAGCCAGAGTTTATATCTTATGTATTAGTCAATGCGATAACATACCAGAGACACCATGGCCCAACCAGTCTTGTTATAGATGAACTCCAAGTTGTTCCTTCTTAAATACAGCAAACCACCAACAAGCGATACTAGCAGGGCCAAAGCAATGGTGCCAGAGTAGTTGGGTGGTCTGAAAACTCGAATCTGAAAAAATGCAATGAAAATTTTAAAAGTGAAAGAAAAATACCAAATTTTTCTCTTGACTATATTCTACTCCTTCCAATTTTCAAAACAAAGAAATCGGAAACATTCTACCCTACTTTTTATACCTGGCACTAATACTACTTTAACTCTCTTTATAAGTCAAAACATACATGCCTTAAAAAATCATGGCTGAGAAATTACCTACATACTACATATACTAGTCAGGTAAGGATTACACAAAATACTAAGTCTTCACCACTACATGATATATCCATGTAACAAATCTACATATGTACTCCCTAAACATATATAAATTTATGCGCTGGGCGCAGTGGCTCATGCCTGTAATCCCAATGCTTTAATAGGTCACGGCAATAGGATCATTTGAGGCCAGAAGTTCAAGACCAGCCTGAGCATCATAGTAAGACCCTATCTCTACAAAAAAATGAAAAGAAAAAATTAGACAAGCTTAGTGGCATGCGCCTGTAGTCCCATATCCTCCGGAAGCTAAGGTAGGAGGATCACTTGAGCCCAGGTATTGGAGGTTACAATAAGTTGTGATCGTGTCACTGCACTCCAGCATGGACAACTGAGCAAAACTCTGTCTCGAAACAAAATAAAAAAAACACAAATACACACACAAAAAAATTGTTTTAAAAATTAAAAAAAGAGAGAATATGCTGTTAGAACATGTTTCTTCATCTATTGGGCCCTATTAGGCCAAATAGAGAAATTCAGCAATAAAAGACAAATGTAAGCATTTGTTAAAAAAATCATGGCTGTGTAAAAGTGACTTCCTCCTCATTTAGGTGAATACACTCAAGCATACGTAAACCTTATTTAAATAACTCAACCCAGAGTTGCTCTGGTTCCACCCCATAGAAAATGGGATCATCTAGTAAATGATAGGGGTATGATGAGGGTGTAATATTTGTATCGTTTCAAATTGGAACTTTTTATACTGCTATTCTTTGACAGCTATGTTGAAATGTGATCTGCATACCATACAATTTACCTATTCAAAGTGTACAACTCCTGTACTTTTCAATGGTTTTTAAAGTACTAATGAACCATTATTCTAAAAACCATCTGAATTCACCTAACAGTCAAAGTTCAGCTTATCACTTACGGCTAACCTATGCAGATCTCTCTACACAAGGAGAGATTATCCATAGAGAAATAAAAAAAATATTACTGTGGCCTTATTACAATGCTCTAACCAATCAGCCTATTACTAAAACTGCAGGGAATAATAAAAACATACATGAACATCTGTTCTGTCAGCAATCCACTTTGCAAGTTGTTCAGCTGCAAATCCAATTCTTTGAAGGTCAAAAGTATCAGCTCTCTTGGGTCTGCCTTTTGGAGGAAAATGCATGAATGTAGGAGCAGAGTTCATGTTCAGCTGTAAAACACAAGATAAAAAATACTAATTGTAATATTCCAATATTCTTCATATGTCATTAATCTAATTTTTAAAAAACTTTTTCTGCACAAATTTTGGAAAGATAGCATTTATTATGAAAATCCAAGTGGTTTTCCAGAGTTGTATTTCTGTTTTTATTCGCCTTAATGTACTACTGAATGAAAAAGAACTTGTAAACTTGACTAAGTATTCTGAACTCTCATATTTAACATATATCATTCATATTACCAGCTTTATTCCCTATATTTTATCAGCCATTTCATTTTTTTTTCCTTCTAGATCTATTATTAGGGCAAAGAAAGAAGGGACTGAAAGTGTAAAAGGAAAATATTACAATGGCAGTGAAAGTGTAAAAGGAAAATATTACAATGGCAGTACATGAATTACTTTACTTCTTAAGCAGTTATTAAAGAAAAAGTACTAGAATTTGATGAAAAATGAGCATATTATGGAATTAATTTCAAACAAATTATAAATAGATTGAATTCCCTATTTAAAACTTGAAGACTTTACTTTTTATAATGATGACTATACAACAGAAACCAACCTTTTTGCTCTAAACAACTAGAATTTATCAGAGACTACAGGTGAAATCCTCAATGATAATCTTTTTCTGCTCAACTTCTCCATGAATGCAACTGTCTTAAATTGGTTATATTTTAGAAATATTTTCTACATGTAATTTCCATTTGAAAACTATATTACATAGAACACTACCCTAGTATAAATGGTGCTTATTATTGACATAACATATAAAAAAGATGTATTAGGTTAATTTGCACTCAATATCAAACCACAAAAAAAATACGTATAGGTTAAATTTATGCTGCCAAGGAATTATGAAAAATGTCTTGGTCATTTATTTTAAGACATTTTTGGCTCTTGACTTGAAACAAAATTCAGTATTTCCTAATAATGAGAATGAAAACAAAATTTCATATGTATAAAAAATGTATATTATTAGAATATATATATAGGATTACAATTGGCCATCAAGGTAAAGATATAACACTAAAAGCTTAGATCCCCATAATAACTAAATTTAATAACGAAATATACAGTTAAGATCAAAACACTTCCTGCTCTATATAATGGACTCTGACTATAGCTGTCATATGTACAAGACAGCTCCAAATCATGTAAGAGCTTCATACAATTCAGCACAAACAAGCTGAATCCCAAAAGAAATGTCTCTGTATTAAAAATTTCTCACTTTTAGTACTACAAATGCAATCAGATTTTCATTACTTACCTTCAAGTTATCTACATTAGTACGCTTCAAACACTACTGCTAACAATTAATAGTTGGTCCATGTTTGCTATGGTTTGAAAGTTTGTCCCCATTGTAACTGTATTAATAGGGGGGATCTTTAAGAGGTGATTAGGCTAGGTGGGCTATGCCCTCATGAATGTGATTGGTGCCATTATAAAAGGGCAAGTTAGGCCCACTCTTGCCCTTTGGCCTTCTGTCATGTCATGATGTAGTAAGAAGGCCCTTGCCAGATGCCAGCACCTTGACATTGGACTTCTGAGCCTTCAGAACTGTGACCAATAAGTTTCTGTTCATTATAAATGACTTAGTCTCAGGTATTCTGTTACAGCAGCACAAAACAAATATTAACTGTTATATATGACTGTTACTATATAATAAGCGTTATTATATAATAATTATATAAATTATATATATTATACAATAACTACTTCATTACATAATAACTATTTAGTACACATTTATATGTCTGGCATAGAGCTGAACATTTGCATATATTAAGAACTCATTTTAATCATCCCAATAGTCCTATGAGAAAGACACTATTATTTCCCTCTCTTAAAGATGAGGAGATAAAGGCCTAAAAAGATAAAGCAATTTACCAAAGGTCATGCAGCTATGAATAGGGAAAGATGGAATCTAAACTCAGGTTTAGATTCTTCTAGACTCTAGACAATTCATTACCACTTCTAGACAATTCCACTCTAGACAATTCATTACAACTTCTGACTCTAGACAATTCATTACCACTATATCAAAATACACAATTCATTACCACTATATCATAATACTTTCTGAACTCTAACTCCCTGAATAAAAATTTAACAAATTTTTATAAACAATTTTTTATAAAAATTTTGAACAAGTTCATTAGAAAATTTAATTAGAAACACAAGCTCCTGCAACATGATACAAACTGATTATAACATAAAACATGAAATAACACATCTTATATACATTATATATATAAAATATGCTTCATGTAATATATGCATTATATGTCTCTGTCATCAGAAGTCTACACTATTCCATTTTCTAGCAATGGCTTACATTTAATGAACATTTAGTAGTGCTGGTTAAACTGAACAAAGAACACAGTTATGAGTTCCTTTCTTCCCTGTGCTTCTCTCATTCTAGACTTTGTTCATGTGTTTCCTTTATGGATACACAAGAGAAAACTACAGCCAACATGTAAATATAAGATTAAAAGAGAGGAAGTCCCCCTCATCCTCACTTCCTGAGTTAGAATAATCAGAAAATCCATACTAAGGCTTAACATTCTAAAATTTTAGAGTTTTTTTTTTTAAAAAATCTTATCATTCAGAGTCTTCCTCTTAATTAAAATCTACAAATTCCCTAAGGCTACAGACAAAGCAGAATCCAGCATGAATTTGTTCCTAGTCCAGAGTTTCTTCCAACATACCATACTCATTAACCCAATGGCCTAATATCAGACACTTAGCCTCAGCCATTCCTACGAAATCACTGTAATTGATTGAAATTACTTTCCCAACAAGTCCTCAACAAGCTAGAAATTACCAAATTTCTCCACTTGTTATTATCTTCTGATACCACAGTACTGCTGATAGCACTTTAAAATATCAATTTAGAGAGAGTATTTCCACAAAACATGATTTAATAGTTAGTGGGAAAAAATATGCATTAAATATGCATTAAATAAATTTAATGCATAAAAATACGCATTAAAAATCTTTTAGTAGTTCTCTAGCAAAGCAAAATATATACTTCTCCATTTTTGTAGATTATAATTTGTCATAAAAATCATTAATTTCCATGACTTTTATGCATTTGTGCATTTTAAAATGAAAACTCTTACTGCTGAGCCAAGGGCTAGGTTTTGGAAAAGACAAAGCAGATCTATACTAGGAATCCTGCTGCATCCAAATTAACCTGAGGAAATGTTTCACTTAAGTACAATCTTGACTTCAACTCTCATGCCTATGCTAAACTATAAAGAAATGTCTAAATCATATAAAAGAATTCAACAATTATATCTAACCATACATCTTCATGATGGCAGCCTATAGTCAGCACTCAACAAAAAGGTAAGATTTATCCCACAAAGGAGTTTTTTGTAATCTGAATTAACTGTCAACATTTTAAAGATAGAGATATTTAATGTAAAATTTCAAATCTGGGTCTTTTCTTGAGAAAGAGATCTAGATACATGTGGCCTACATATTTTCAATAGAGCTGGAGCTGAGCTGTACCTCTCACTGGGTCAAGCATGTCCCCTCCAATTTGCTGCAGTCCCACACCACACTGCTTCCCCAACCATGACAGCAAAGGTCAAATGCATGGTGTTTTGCCAATTTTATTTCTTATAGTAGTTAGGAGCAAAGTGAAATATAAGTGTTCCTATTAATGATTTATTTTTTAAAAAGACCAAGAATGATACTATTTTAATAAAATAGGAGAAGGCATATTTATTTGAAAAAGTGAAAAACTAATACATTTAATGTATTAAGTACATACTTAGTATATTAGATATCATGAAACCAAGATAACATATTATCAATAAAGATAACATAAAGATATTATTGTGAAGCTTGATGAACCCAACCCACTTTCTTCATTTAGTTTACAGGTGTATTTGAGTAGGTATTAATATTGGGGCTTAAAGACTGCTCTAGCAGTCACGTTGGACCCAGGTGACTACTTGCCAGAACAACAGAGAGCATTCAAGACTATAATGAATAGCACTTCCATCTGATGATCTCTAAAGCCAATTTTCCTGAGATTTTATAGAGACCTATAAGTTATATGAAATGATATTTGGTTCTTATAGTACTATAATTTTAATTTAGGATAAGGATATTTGAAAAGATAAGGATATTTGAAATTACATATTTATGTTTTCCTTTATTAGTATTTTATTATAATTATTACTATTATACTATTATTACTATTAGCTTCCTACTCTGTAAGCTGCTTATAGGCAAGAACTATGTATGTTTTTATTTGACAATTTATTGTTTTTACAGAGTAGGCACTCAGTACTATTTGCTGAATAGATAAATACAAAGAAACGTCCTTAAAAGGCAAAATAAATTTATAGGGGGAGAAATAAGCAAAGAATACTAATAGGAAAAGGGTACTGAAAGCAAAAAGAGAATATTTATCTTATTCAACTAGAAACTGGCAAAGACAAATAATTAGCCTGGAAGCAAATGAGCAAAAATATGTACTAATGGCAATGTAATTAGTGGGGTAGATTCTTTAAAGAACTTTATGCTTTTTTTCCATAAGCTGGTAGATCATTATGCCAAAGAATATCACATATGAGAATAATTACATAGGCCAAGATACCCAAACAAATCAATGCTGGGCACTGCAATAAGGTTTGCATTTAAGAGTTTGATCAAGTAGTAAATATATAAAAAATTGTTAACTGCAAAGTAACATCATGATTAAGAGCTAGGGCTCTAGAAGCCAGAGAGCTGAGTTCAAATTCTAGCTATATACTAACTTTGTAATGTTGGACAAGCAACATTCTCTCCATACCTTATTTCTTATCTATGAAATGGAGCCAACATCATCTCTCTCACTGGATCATTGTGAAGCTAAATGAAAGAACACATATGAAGCACTTAGAACAGTGCCTGGTCCTTAAGCTTTCAATGTTAGCAATGATAATGGCACAACCATGACATCAAAGACAACTAGTATTTTTATGTCGAAGTCCAATACCTTGCTCCATGGAGAAGACTATAAATGAGAGTTTATCAGCCTGCTCAGGTTGCCATAACAGAAAACCCCAGACTAGGTGACTTAAACAGCAGAAATGCATTTTCTCACAATTCTGAAGACTGGAAGTTCAAGATCAAGGGACCAGCAGAATTGGTTTCTAGTCAGGCTTCTCTTCCTTGGCTTGTAGCAATCTTCTTGCTGTGTCCTCAGATGGCCTTTTACTCTGTGCACGTGTATTTCTGTCTCTTCCTCTTCTTATAAGGACATTAGTCCTGTTGGATTAGGACCCCACCCTAAAAACCTCATTTAACCTTAATTACATCCCTCAAAGCCCCATCTTCAAATACGGTCACCTTGGAGGTTATGGCTTCAACATATCAATTTGGAAAAATACAATTCGGCCCATAACAGAAAAAAAACACTTTTAAATAAATACTTAATATTTTACATGTAAAATTCTCTGTATCTGCCACATTGGAAGAAATAAATTTTAAGTAAAACTTGCATTGAATTTTATATAAAATGTCACAAGTTTGTGCAACATACTTAATCACATACAATTAAATACCAAAATAAGATTAATTCATGTATAATGCCACTGCATGCTAAGAAAACACATTTCCTGTGTAATGCAAAAGTCAAAATGTGTTTACCATACTTACTAATGGCAAAAACTACAACGATAAAGGTAACATTGGCTTTAATTATTGTAATCACATCACAGAATTTATTACAACTACTTATTGTATTTATTAACTTATTCAGTGAATTGCATTTTTATCTGGCTAACAAAAATGTATCATTCATAAGTGGCTCTCTTAAATATATTACCAAAATAAAATATAACTCTTTTACCTGTTGAAAAACATCTGTCCCCTCATCATAGTCCACCATACTGAAGAAGAGTTTGTTACAAAAAGCAGATGAATAGCGCCAGGAGTTAGCCAGTATTTGATATTCTTCATTAGCTTGCCTAATAAGAATAATGGGGCAGGGGCAGAGTAGAAACACATTAGTATTGAAGCATTAAGGAAGCAGTTAATAAAACCAGTACTTCTAGGGTAAGCATTGGTCAGTTTCTGTATGAACTGCAAGCAAAGATCAGTTTTTTAAAAATATTTTTAAATGGTTGTTAAAAAAAGAGAAAAATATTCCTTAATACATGAAAATTATATAAAATTCAAACTTTAATATTCATAAATAAAGTTTTATTGCAACACAGCCACAATGATTCATTTACATATTGCTTATGATTGCTATTATGCTATAATGGCAAAGGCGAGTAGTTGTTACACAACTGTATGAGCCACGGGCTGGCCTGGCCCTTTAAATAAAAAGTTTACCAACTCTTGTTTTAGGGATTTAAAACATTTTTTGGCATTCCCTACACATATAAATTAAATCTTCTAATAATTTTTAGTAAAAGACCAACTTTTAAGAATATTTGCAATTCAGTTTAACAGAAAAACAAAAATCATGAGGAAATGTAAGTTATAAAATTGTAAACACAGTTATATTGCACCTTTATTTGTTCCATTTATCTTAACATTCAAACCTAAAAGTAAGCAAAAATTTCTGAGTAGCTAAACCAGATGCTGCAAACAAACTATCTTCTAATATATTTGCTCCTATTTAGAACTCATTTTCATTAGACATTTTACTAATTTGGCAGATGATAAAGCTCTATATTTAGATGTAGAGAGAGATTAGAAACAGGGAAATAGCATTGCTGGAAGTATGTAAGTACAGTAATAGGAACAAAAAGCAACAAGTTATTTCTAAAACATTTTTAAAAACAAAGTAGTAGTGCTTGTTCCACATAATTTATCATTCTCAGGAGTTTATCCTCTCAAAACACCAATTTAGAAGACAGAGTTAAATAAAATCCACATAACAAAATAAAACAGGTGGAAATATTGGGGCGGGTAGAGCAGAGAGAAAGGATCTATAGGTATAATTCAGTAATTACAACTTTCAAATAGGAGTCCAGAGAGAGAAGGGAGATAAAACAGAGGAAATGATATTTCTGGAAACAATAAAATTAAAGGAGACTAAATATTCAAATTAAAAGTATTTCCTAGATTCAGAATAGGATGAATGTGAAAAAAACCAACATGGAAAAATTCTGTGATACTTCGGAACACTATGAATAAAAAACAAGATCCTAACAGTTTTCAGAGGGAAAAAAAAATCCTCAACGGGGGCAAACAATGAGATTGCGATTGGACTGGTCATTAGCAACACTAGATACCAACAGATAGAACAATTCCTTGAGACTTCTGAAGGGATATTATTTTCTATTTAGAATTCTATATTGAGCCAAAATATCAATTAAGTTTCAAATGAACACGTTCTCAGCAATGTTATGAACAAGAAATACAAGGATGTATTTATTAATACTATTACAGTGGTAAATAAGAAACAGAATTAAAACTTGAAAAGGGTAAGATGAGTTCCATCTTCATGTATCACAGAAAGAAATGTAAAGACCAAGTATACCGTATGAAATATTGTTTTAAGAATAACATTCAGAGATATTGAAAAAACATTAAAAGAAAAAAACAGAAAGGAATAACAGTGATCGTTTCTGGCACACAAGTCTGCAAATAGGTAAGTGCAAGGGCCAGGGACTGCAGTTCTACATTTCAGACCATTCTTTATTAACACGAGGCACATGAAATTGTGATTAAAATATATATATTTTAAGAGGCCTAAATATGAATGGTGCTGTAATCTGAGGTCATTTTATCATAAAATAAAGATCTTAGGCATCATTTTATCAAAGCACAGCACCAAAACTGATCACTGTAATGATTAGTGTAAGACTGCATTGTGCTCAGTAGGCAGAAAACTACACAGTGCATTTTAGAATATTTTCAATAAAAATAGTTACAAATTTTAAAGCTTTGGTGGTTAAGTAAGATTTAATCTACTGTAATTCACTCAAAAACTATTTACTAAACACCTTATAGTAACAAATAAGAAGTAATCTCCAAGATCTCTTGTCTTCATAGCATTGGTGTTTTAGTGAGGAGACATATAATAAACTAAATAATTAAAAAACTAAAAATTAAGATATACTCTGAGAAAACAGCATACAAAATAGCATTATAGGAAATAATGGAGAATGTACTTAGATGGTATGGTTATTAAAAGGCTTCTCAGATGAAGTGAATAAAGCTCAAATGCCAAGGATGAGAAAGAGCAAGCAGGAATAACAAGCACAAAGGCCTAAAGAGCGATAGAACTTAAGATGCTGGCAAGATGAAACTGTGATATAAATGAGAACACACACTCTGTTTACTAGAAGAATACGTACAGAATACACATTTACACCCTCCCTCATCTGTATGAAACAGTGCTGCACTGTGCTTCTCCCAATCCTACAATCAAAACAAAGTTCAAAACAACAGGAGCCCTAAAATCGGATTTGATTTTTGTCACAAGAAATGTAATGACTGGTAAGTATTCATCATTGATTTTCAAAGAAAAAATGTATAGTAGCTTTACACATTGAACTGGCACTGACACATAAGTAAGTCTGAACATCATTACATGGTAATAAACCTTAGACCAATACTGCTTTAAAAAACTCATTAAAAGGATGGCATTAAAATTAAGAAAACAATATATTAAACACAACTCCATTACTGGAGTATTTTACAAATAAACAGTTTAACTTTTGAAATAAAACAGAAATTGTAAATCAGCAAAAAACTAGCATTCTTGTGATGATGACATTCTAAGTAATGAAAATGCTTCATTATAAAAAATAAAGAGAAAACCATCATATTTTAGTATTCAATGTCTATGTATAGAATCTTATGGAATGACCTAGCGAGGAATAATGTTGAATTTCTTTTCCTCATACTTTTGTAATCTAGCCCACTACAGTAGATTAAGTATACACTCATGAACTCATTAATTCAAACCACAGATCCATGTTAGTGCCAACAATGTGCCAGGTAATGCAGAACTGAATAACAAATGCAAGGTCCTTAATCTCTAGACGCTCACATCCAGTAAGAAAGAGGGGCCTCATACAGATAAACAAATTTCAGATAATCATAAGTATTATGAAGGAAAAAAGAGAAAATATGATAAAGAGTAATGAGATGTCATAGAGGATGAATTCAACTTGCCTTCAAACTCTATACTCCATATCATTCCATTTTTTCAGATTTAATTTCCCAAAAACCTATTTGTATAATTTATCCTCTATTCAAAAATCCAAAAACGTTCCCCACTACCCATATGATGAAGACAATGGGAAGAAGTCAAGATCCTCCATATCCTGGCCACAACTTACATAACCTATGTCTCAATGAACATACCACACTCAAAGGGTCTCTCTGTTTCATGAACATACCATGTCCATGCTTACCATACGCAGGAAATACATTGCTTAGAATATCCTCCCTTCTTTCAATATCTTCTCAAAAACTGCCTCTCCTTCAGAAGTCACTTCATATCTCTACACCTACAATAGCTGTTGATGCAACTGTCTGAAATGGAACTTCTCAGCAACTGTGTGGCACTATTTATTTTACACAAGTATCTGTTTTGTTTATATGTATCAATTGTCCAATGCCTAGGACCCAATATAGAGTAGATATTCAATAAAGGTTTGTTACTGGTGATGATGAATATTATACTTTCCAAACCAGTCAATATATCATAAATGCCTTAAAACTAAATTTACCACATTAGAGATTCCAAATTCTAGTGAGTCTGACTAAAAGCCCATTTAGTCAGATTTACATCACAGGTTAATGTCTCTTTTAAGGCAAATTTGCTTTACTCTATGGTGGTGGGGATAAAAAAAAATCACATTTTAAATCTGTGTACTATCACAAATGTATTCTGTTTGTCAAAGGAATAGTGTCCACGATTCAAAAGGTTACAAATGACTAAATCATCATGCAATGTCATGTTAGTAATACCAATTTCACATGCAAATGTAGAATTCAGGTTTTAATCATCAATGATATTTAAACTCAACAATTTTAATATGTGCTGCAAGAAAAGGGGGTACACCTCACAGCATCCATCTTTAAGAGGCTTGTTAGAGGAAAGAATAGATATGTACTCTAATATGTAAATAAGGTCCATTTATTTTTAAAAAGAATACAGATTGTAGGTGCTATATAGCACACAGAGAAGGAAGAGATCAGAGTGGACTGGAGTAGTTACAAAGAATGTGAATATGAAAAAAATTGGAAAACAACAAAGGTATGTCTGGAAGGACTAAAATTATGTTAATAATAAACAACAAAGGACAGGGAGATAATAGTAAGGCAACAGAAACAGTATAAAAAAAGACTGTGTTTATGTGTTCAAGTAATAGAATATCAGTTTCATGTCAGAAAATAAGACCGGAAGTGGTAAAAAGATACACAGGATCTGGATTTATTCTATAAACAGTGAACTACAAGTGTTTTTGAAAGAAGTAGATTATGTAAAATACTATTTAAGAACGCTGCATCTGGCAACTGTGTATGATATATAGAGGAAAAGAGAGTAAGTGGAAATGGAATGATTGGGAAAATATATAAGGTTATTAAAATATTATATAAATAACAGTGTGACTTATCTTGTACATACTCTCCATTGGAAACTAGCAGGTCAAAGCACCCAGTAAAATTTTCTAGACAGTGTACTTAGGAACAGTTCTAGCAAGAATAAAGAATTCCATGGGAGCCAAAGAAAAGTACATTTTCTTGACTCTAGTCAGAGAAAATATAATACTGACAAGGTAAATGGGGGCTTTCTTCTGTTAGCTGTAATTCAGGACCAACAGGATCAGTGAACAGATCTGTGTGTCACTGAAAAAAAAAATTCAATAAGCCTGAGAAATATGTACTTTAATATCAATGATATCTTTTCAGAGTACAAAAGATTTATTAGAAGAAGTGCACCCTAATAACAAAGACCCTATTCTCTATCCTTACTCCATTAACCTTTATGCCCCTC